AAGTGAGCTCCATGAGTCATTCTAGAAAATGTGATCACCAGAACCAAAGAAAGCACTTAATACACAGAGGGTGATAGTATACAAATGACACAAGTAAAGACACGAGTGCTTAAGAATGGAAGATTAGAGTCCTAGCCAGAAATCGTAGGCTCAAATCGTAGGCTCGTATTCTCTTCTTCCCCATTTTCCTGCTGGCCTCTCCCTTTTATGTTTTTTGCTCTGTCTGGCACTCCTCTTTCTATTCCTTTTTTCTCAGTGGCCCCATCCTTCTATCAGTCTCTCTCTCTTCCTGTCTTGAAGTTCAGAAAGGACATCGCCCAAGGTCATACAACCAGATGTCGAGAAAGCCCCTCAAAGTGTCCATATCCAAAGTACCAGAAAGTATGGGTTTTGCCTCCCAAGCTTCTTCTCATGTTTTTGAATATCAGGAAATATCTTTATTTACCTAGTTAGTAAAGTCAGTTTCTTTCCCTGCCTCCCCACTGAATACATTAGGAAACCTTCCTGTTGCACTTTCGAAATAGGCCCCCAAATCCAGCCACTTCTTTCTATCCCCAATACCATCAGTCCAAATTCTCTCTCTCCTGTTCTACTGCTAAAATAGCACGCATGACCTCTGTATTTAGAATCTTGTCCTACTCTCAGGCTAATCTCCACACGGCCTCTGCAATAATCTAGTCAAATCTAAATCAGACCATGGTACTCCCCTGCTCGAAACCCTTGAATGCTGCTCTTGTATTGAATAAAACCTACATTTGTATGAGGGAGTGGCTTCAAGGCTGTGTATAATCTGGCCCTGACTATCTCTCTGGACTCATCTCCAAGTTCTTTCCCCTTTATTCATTGTGCTCTAGCCATACTGGTCTTGTTGTTCCTGGAACAGGCCAAGTCAATTCCCACCTCAGGGCCTTTGCATTTGCCATCCCACCACCCAGAGCATAGTTACCCACGTCTTCATAGGGATCATTCTCTCCTTTATTCTGGTGTATCAAATGCCATCTCTACAAAGAAGCCTTCCTCGTTATTCTTTATCTACTACTTTATTTTATTTTTTTCTCATAGCATTTATCGCTTTGAGTTACTTTATATGCCAGTTTATTTCTTGACTGTCTCCCTCAGGCAGAATGTAAGTTCCATGAGGCGAGGCTTTGCATGTTTTGTTTCCTTGGTATCCTCAGTACCTAGTGACAGTGACTGGCACATTAGATAAATTCAATGCACTGTTGTTGAATAAATGTTTGAATGGACTAGATGCATAGTGAAAATCAAATATCTGTTAACTGAATGAATAAATATCACAGATGCTGGGGATACAATAATAAACAAGACAAATAGGCCTCCTGTATGCTCATGAGACTTAGCAGAAAAGGCATCCATTAAATATGTAATAACAATAAAATAAGAAGAGTGCCATGATAATAGAAGTCATGGAAGTAGTAGGGACCTCTAATCTAATCTAGTATAGAGCTTAACACCTTAGATGTATGGCTTTAAGAAACTAACCTGTCTTGACCCTTGTATCCACCTGTGTGAAATGGGGATACTAGTATTAGTTATGTGGCTTTTGCAGGGAAGAAAGAGGGATGTATGTAAAATGCCTAATAATATATGCACAGTAAGTTTCAACTACTATTGCTATTATAATATATTAACATCTGTTATACTTCATGGGTGTAATAATTATATAAAATAATGTATATGAAGTACTTAAGAATGTCTGATTCCTTGTATTGCTCAATAAATGTCATTATTATCAACAACGATAAGTATGTCTGAGGATGTCAGGAAATCCTTCACAGAGGGAAAAAAGCTCATGTTATTACTTAAAGGAATCATTCTTAATCTAAATAAGCAGGTGCAGCTATGAATTTTGTTTCTTAATCAACAATTATTCATTTTCAAAAATGATTTCTTGTAATATCCTGAGATGAGGAGTATCCTGTTTGGGTTCTTCTATTTTGCAAACAGAAAAATGATAGAAGTTAATTAGCTCATTCAAGTACATACTAGTTTTGTTGTTTAACCAGTAAAGGTCTTCTGTGAGAAGACTGTTCAGTAAATCTTCATTGAATGCCTACGCTGTCTTTGCAAAGCCTCATGAAAGATACAGAAATGCATAACCACTAAGAGACACTACTGTGCTCAAAGCGAGTGAGAGTACTGAAAAAAGTACACAATGTAGGCAGAAAAGTTAGAATGGTGTTTCATGGTGCTGGACTAGAGCTACGGGAATGAAGAAGAGAGAGTTCATGGTCAAGAGGCGTGGTCAGAAAAGACACTATAAAAGAGGTGAACTTTAAAGCTGGGCTTCAAAAAATAAATAGAATTTAGACAGTGAGTACAGAAGGGTCGAGGGCAGAGTATCAGGAAGAAAACAAGATATGAGCAAAGGGCACGATGGTGAGAACACACAACACCCATTCAGGAGATTTCAAGTGGTCAAATACTCTTTGTGCAGAAAGTTCTTTCAGGGGACACATGGAAGATAAGGGTTTGCAGATAATTGCTAGATTAAGGAGTTTGCATTTCATCCTAAAGATAACTATCAGCCATTGCATGGTGTTAATGAGAAGATGTTAGGAATATAAGCAGACCATAATGGGAAAGCATAAAGAGCAGAATAAGAGCATGAAGGCAGGAATTCAAAACAGAAGTTATGGTCATCATCCTGACATAAAACTGGTGTTGTGTGGAATTAGAAGGACAGGGAGGATGCAGCAGATACTCTGCCTGAATAGTCACTGGCACTCAGTGATTGGTTAGCTATATAGGGAGATGGACAATCTACACAGCGTGAGCTGGAGGGGCCCTCGGCCCTGAAGTATTTCTGAAAATGTCGTCTACAGACTATTTCTAGCAGGATCACTTAGAGTGTTTGTTAAAAATTCAGATTCCTGTGCCCTATTTCAATTGACTGAATCAGAATCATTGGGACAAGAACCCATAAGAATCTGCATTTTAACAAGCTCCCCAGGTAATTCTTCATGATTCTTGGAAGTTTGAGATTACATCCGTCTTTGAGATTATTTGACCAATAATCTCTGCATTTGGAAATGGAGATTCAAAGAAGTCAAGCGACCTTCCCAAGGTCACACAGTTATCGAGAACTAGGATGAGGTAGTCTCACTCACTGTCTGGACTTGTTCTGCCATGCCATGCAAGATTTATATCTGATGGTTGAGTGTTGCAAGGAAAGCACTATTTCCTCACTTCCAAAGTGGCAAGGCAGAAAGACTGGAACTAAGTCCTAACCGACACAGATGCCTTAAAATTCCAGCAGGCTGATATCTTTCTGCTTTGGCTAAGAGGACCATCCTGTAGGGAAGCTGCTGCTGCTGTTCTCATCGTAGCCCGATTGTCGGACTCTGAGCTTGTGGGTTCAGGGAAATAGCCAGGGCCAGATGACGTCCTTAGGGCAGCCCTGATACATGACCATGCAGAGGAAGTTGGTCCATACAATTTGGCTCTCAGACAGACAGCAGTACAGGGAGCGTTTCTTGACTTTATTATCCTAGATTGTGGGACTCCAATTAATTGCTCTGAGTTTCATCCTCTTTGATAAGACATATTATTTAGAAGACCGTATATTGAATTCTAAGAAAGAAGAACTGGATTAAAGTCCTTTCTTAACTGTGTGATTTGGGCCAAGTTAATTATGATATTTTGTTACCATGAGGCTGGCTATGCCAAGCCCCCTACTTTATAGGTTCAGAGTTCGGATGAGTAGGATAATTTATTTAAAGTTACACAACATATTAACTTTCTAAATCTCCATTCCCTCAAAATGAGGGAAGTAAAATCAACTCTAGTCAGGGGCCTCTAATCTTCTCTTTTCACTGTAGTAATTCTCTCTCTCTTTCTCTCTCTCTCACATACACACACACACACACAACACACATGACTACTAACATAATATGACACATGAACACTTAAGATTTCTTTAAAAAGGACCTTAAGGAGAAAACGATTAACTAAGGGTAAGAAAGTGTTTATGAACCCGGTTCCGGACCTATACTATGGACTCTATCATGTGGTTTCCCAGGGCCACGCCTGTATCATAACTGATAAGATATGCTCCAAGTCTTCCCACTCCCTACATTCAGAAAGGCTGTCGCTATCTCTATCCTATTCTTCCACTATCTGCCTCACCTTTTCTGGGAAGCAGAGAGTGGCACTCTAGCCCAAGTGTGTCTAATCAGGTTGCCCAAAACAAGGAGAGATTTAGTAAATATTTGAACTTGGGGTGCAGAGCAAAGGACCAAAGACCCAGAAAACCAGGGAAGCTTATCGACTGGCTATTCCACTTGTGATGTGGTTATTATAAAAATTGTTTGCCTTTCTCTGTCCAACTTATTTCACTTAGTGTAATATCCTCTAGGTCCATCTACATTGTTGCGAATAACCGGCTTTCATTTGTTTTTATGGCTGAGTAAAATTCCATCATATATATGTACCACATCTTCTTTATTCATTCACCTATAATATCTATGTCAATCGTAATTGAAAAATTAAAAAAAAAAAAAGGCTTGCATTCATTTAAGAACAAACATCAAATACTCCTTCTCTTAATTTCAAACAGATAAAAGTAGAAGAGAAAAACAGAAAGGGAGTGGAGAGGCATTTTGTTAATCTTTAGGAAAATTTACAATGCGAATATTCTAAATAGGAGTTACCCTAGAGAAATTAAAATTTTTTAATTTAAAAACTTATTTTCCTCTCAGCTTTTTGAAATGTCCCTATTATATAGCACAATCAAGCTGTAAGGTCTTACTTCTATTTCAGCATTTCTCAATCAGATAATCCCAGAGTGCTTGTTAAAACGCAGATCCATGGATCTGCATTTTAAGTGAATTAGAATCACTTGCATAGATAAGTCAAACGTGCTTCCAAGGAGATTTTCATGCACACTAGAACTTGGAAACCACTGCATACCCCTTCGAACATCTAAAATCATTTCCATTTTTCATCAGATAAAAGAATCTGTTGTTTTGAACTCTTACATATTTGTTGCCTTCAGGTCATTATGTCTCCTTCCAGGTCACCCAGTTCTAATGTTCAGCATAGGACTCAGCCAAAGAAATTAGATGAAGTATGATGAAATTATTGCCTCACGCTTCTTATTGTAAATCTCTACTCTTCTTTCTCCTTCAACTTTCTTTCCAAATACACCTATTTTTAAGTTCTATTTTTATGTACGCCAAAGCTTAAAACACACTGCCCTTCTGTGGTAGGTGCTTTGCAAGCCAATGTCTTTGACTAGTAGACTAGGCGCATGAGGGATTTGTGGTGAATGAGTCAGTGGGAGGAAGAAATAAGGGGGAGGAAAAAATAAAGAAATGAGTGATCTACATATTTGGGATGCCAGGAACCAGAAGCGGTTCTAGTTGCAGCTCTGTCGTTTACTTAGTGTGTGACCCGAGTTGAGTCATGCCCCTTTCTGGGCCACAGGGTACTCATCCAGGGCTAGGTGGAATTCTCTTAAGCAGAGATTCTCAGTCTATGTGTTGTATCACAATGATGTGCTGCAAATGAATTCCAGGTGTGCTATGAATTATTGAGCCTCTTAACACTCAGAGTGCCCTATGGAACTTGGAGTAGCTGAGGCTCTGGGACCAGGTGCCTCTAGCCAAAAAGAGTTTCATCGCAGGTTCTTTGAGGAGTGGTCTGAGCAGTGCAGCAGCCTAAGAGGGACCCTCACAGTTCCCAGAGAAGACAGCGAGCACGACAAGCTACATTTACCTTGTATTGCTCCACTGCGATGCCGCGAGCACAGCCAAGAAATTGCTTCACTGCCCGGCCATATCAGCAGTCAGCTTCAGAGCATACCACCAAATATCCTAGATGAAATCTGAGGACCAGTAGGAAGTTTGTTGCCAGGTGCCCAGAGCTTAGAACTCAGCCCAAGGTACATCTACCTGGAGATAGAAAGTGTGGAAACATGGTGAGGTTTTCTGGTCTACCCAGCGACATGTATCAGCCTAAAATCTCTATCTTTATATATCAGGTTTTCCTGTCATCTGCAGCTGATGGACAAGAAGTCTATTTAGTTGTAGGACAACAGCTTTTACAATGCATCTGCGATGTAGAAATTAGACCTTCCTTATTCTTTTGAAACTCAAGATATGTAAAAGTACAAATTTGAAATACTTTTACTTCATCAAATTTAAAAACTGATTTGTTAGTCTAAGAAAAGGATAATCTATTAGGTTCTTTAATATCAAAGGTTACAAATCTTCAAATAATTATAAACAATGGTTTAAGAATTTTTAAATTATCTTCTCGTACAAATTAAGTTTCTTATTGATAGAGACCACTAAGAATTTGAAGTAATCATCGTTAACATCTCTTGACCAACGTTGCATATAGCCATTTCAAGCATGATAGCTCTTGGTAAAAGATATGTCAGTGAATGTAAGTTCAAATTTCTAATTTAAAATTTTGAAATGATTTTATTTAAAATTTTATGTTTAATTTTTAATATTTTTCTAAATATTTTTAGTATTTCCCCTAAATATATATAATGCAATAAAAAAAAATTTTGCCAAGCTTTATATAGCTATTCTCAGATCCCCTCCAGTTTACTCCTTGTCCTATACAAATATTTTCATTTTCTGTGTATATAAGGTATGAGAAGGATTTGGTACAGTGTTCTAGGGCAGTGGTTTTCTACTGCGAGCAATTTGATATTTGCAATGTCTGGAGACATTTTTTTGTTGTCGCTGTTGGGAAGCTGATTACTGACATCTATTGAGTTGAGACCAAGGATGCTGCTAAATACTCAATAATACATAGAGTAATCCCCCATTAAAAGAATTGTTGGGTCCAAAATGTCAGTAGTGCCAAAGATAGAAACCCCTGTTCTAGGGTTCCTCTCACTTTAAAGTGCATAATTCTGAGTTATAATTGTTATTGTAGTTTACAGGAGAGTATGATTGCCAATAATGGATGTGGCTAGGAATGGCCGGCTCTAATCTCTCAGCTGTATCTATAATAGCAGACTCAGCATGCAGGTAAAACATGGGGCAGGGCTTCCTGTGCCCTTGCTGGAAATCAAGTCATGAACATTTGCTTGAGATGGTATACATTTCAAAGCAGCAAATATGTAACTCCTGTGGATACAACCTTAGTACC